CCAGCCCCGCGGGCACCAGCCGGGAGGAAAACACCTTCTAGACCTGTGTGACTGGAGCCTGTTCTCTCTCCAGACAAACAACAAGCTGGAGGCTCAGCGTGTAGCCACAGAGTTTGCCTTTCGCAAGAGGATTAGAGACCTTGAAAGAGCCTATGATGAGCTGAAATGGCAGGAGCAGAATGTAAATGTTGCTTCTTTGGTTATTGACCACAGCCTTGGGTGGGAATTTAATCCAAACCACTGTTTGTTATGTGGAAAGCTCCTTGGCCTGAGCGTGGTTTCCAGAGGAGAGCTGTTAAGTGGCCCATGTACGATCACTGCAACATCCTACTTCTTTCTGCCAACAGAGGTGCTGCTCTGGCACTTCTCAGCTACAGGGCCAGGTTTTGGCCTTTTTATTTCACCCCTGCTCTCAGCTGCTGTGGCCATAAAGCACCAGCAGCACTGTGTGAAAGCCCAATCTGTGAGCAGGGGGGTTTGATACTCAGAACCCACCAGCCCTTGTTTAAAGCCTTTTCTGGGCACAGTGACAGCTCGGGATGTGTGGGGGCTGTTCTGCAGCCTGCAGCCCTGCCTGTCCCTCACAATGCACACCGTACCCTCAGACCCTGAAGGAGATTGCTGAGATGGAGGAGGACATCCGGCGCTTGGAGGAGGATCTGTGGAGGAAGGTGCAGGCCCTGAAGGTGGCACACACCCGCCTGGAGACCCGCACGCACAGGCCCTGGGCGGAGCTCTGTCGGGATCAGGTACCAGCAGGCTCCTGACAGGAGGGATTAGGGGCAACCTAGGGGGGGGGAGGCTTCTGGGTACCAGCATCCTCCTGCCAGGAGGGACTAGGGCCAACCTATGGGGGGGGAGGCTTCTGGGTGTCTGAGATGTGTGGATGCATTTTGGAGAGAGCTGCAGAGGGGTTGAGCAATGGATCCTTGGAAAGCCAGGAAATAATTGTCGTAGGTGGGCTACGAGGGGAACAAGAGAACAGTGGCCTTTGTAAAACAACCCTTCAGCCCTGTTGACTGCTGTGACCTTCTCCCTCCCCCTCGCAGGCCCAGTACGGGCTGACAGACGAGGTCCACCAGCTGGAGGGGACCATCCGTGCGCTCAGGCAGAAGCTGGCAGAGTCACAGTGAGTCTCCTGCTCCCTGGGGCAGAGCAGTGCCCGCCTGAGGGACGTGTCGAGGTGCAGCCCTGGACCTGGCACGTGCCCAGGGGCTGCGTTCTGCAGCTGGTGTCTGCTCAGATCAGGAGTGGAAATAGACTGGGCTTGGTGGGGAGCTGGGCTGGGCAGGAGGTGCTGCCAGAGGTTTGTGTGGTGGGGGGTGAATGGTGTTCCCATGGCCCCTGATTGACTGACTTCAACCAACCAGGCCCAAACAGTTCTGAAAGGGGAAAAAAAACAAAACAGGGTGAAAAGTAAAGGAAGAGAGAGAAGTGGTGCTGTGGGCTTCAGGGGGGACATCTCTGTGGTGTGCTCCAGGAGCAGCCTGTGGGCTTGAAGTTCAGAGACCCAAATCACCAAGAAACACCTGATGCATTTGCTCTTCCTAC